ATTTCGGTCAAGAAACTTGACCGAAATAATACATGATATTATATTATGAAAATTACAATAATTTCGGTTAATTTACTTGACCAAAATAGTATGTGTCAATTACCAAAATAATCATGTTGATTAAATCGGTCAATATTTTTGACCGAAATCTAATACCGGAAAATCAGTCATCCATGACTATTTCGGTCATTACACTTGACCGAACCTTATCATTAAAATATTGTTTTAATAGTTCGGTCAAATATTTTCACCGAAACTAAGTTTTTTTAATGATTTTTTACCCCATATTTCGGTCAATGATTTTAACCGAAATAATAAATAATTTCAGTCAAGACAAATTCTATTCGAAATTGTATTTCTGTCAGTGCTTATTCGGTCCAACAATTCGGTTAAGTATTTTGACCAATATAATAGTTTTTTGGTCAAAATATAAGTTTGTTTGGTCAGTGTGACTGACCGAACTTGTATGGTTTTCTAGTAGTGTCTTAGCAATTACATGAAGGTAAGCCTGGCGTATATCACTATTCAATTTTCTCTCTTTCTTTTCTCTTTTATTTTTATTTTTATTTTTATTTTTAACTTCGTGTCCCTTCTCTTTTTCCACTTGTTTTCTCCATTGTAGAATCTACTTTTTTAAGATTTAAAGAAATTTTGGTTTGTATTCCACGATGGAGGGGTTATCTCCAAAAAAACAGTTGTTTCGTGCTTGGCATAATTAACTGTATGACATCATTGAACTAAAGAAGATAATCTATTTACCCAAATGGGGATGGATAAATTCAAACCTTTATTTCCGTATGGTTCACTTCACTCCTTACAATACTATTTGAGCCTTACCTAATACCAACAAGAGTTTGATTGAGTTTCATGCTAAGTTCAAAACTTTAATTTTGGATCAAGGTTAGAATTTCAAATCCTACCACAATTAACTCTATATATAATATACTCAAAAGAAAAAAAATTTAGCTTACCCTAATTGGTTCCCAATTAAATAAGGAAAATGATCATCACACAATGTATACTTACAATAAAATTTTACAATCCTAAGTGACCGTGATAGTAATTATGATTATTATTTTTTATTTAGTTGAATGCATGAATCTGCTTTTATATCCACTTGATGTCATGTATTTATTATAGGAATTCATTTTAAGAAATGTTGTACAAGAATTCACTTTGATAAAATAAAGCGTTAGAAATTAATAATGAAAAGGTAGAAATATTTGAAGAGAAATTGTTAACTTGTTATTAAGAACTCTGTACATGGTACACTTAAAAATCAATGAAATCAAGGAAAGAATTAAGGAAATCATTTAGAGCATTGAGAGTCAATTAAGGGGATGATGATGAATGAATCTTCTTATAGTGGAAGGAAAGGCTTTCAGTCCAAAGTAAACTCTCAAGCAAATGGCATGAAAGGTGAATTAGGCACAAGTTGTGATCAAATCATTATAAATTTTTTGTTTAAACTTTTTCTCCCTTAACTTTTAATTTCTGGAATTTATTTTAATGAGATTCAATTGTTTGTTAATTGTTTGTGCTTTGCTTATTGATTTGATTTGAAAAATTGTCTTAATTTTTTGAAAACCCAATTCAACCTCTCTTGGGTTGTGATCATCTAGGCAACAACATTGAGAAAATGATGGCTTAAATAACCCATTTCACATCTAAAGTTAAAGATATTTAATGAGGTAAAAGTAAAACTAAGATAGTTGAAATTAACTATAGAGTTGAAACGACCCCTAAGCGGGCCAAGGGAGACTGCTCGTATTAAGGTCTAGTGGCATTGTCTCATGCCTACGAAGGGGCAACTTCTATGATAGCAACTTCTCACAATCGTACACTTCTTCCTATGTGAGATTGACAAGAGTTTACCAGAAAGTAAAACGAGAAGACAATGGACTTGAGTAGTCTATGCAAATCTGATCTTGAGCCATTGTTATCAGGTTTAGAATTTCTATTGAAGGATTTAAGTTTAAAGCAAATTAATAAAGTTTTAAAGATGTAATTCTTATGAATTTCTTTATCTTGACTTGAATAGTTTTTGCAAATTTATTTAGCCATTGTAGCCAGGTTGAGTCCATTAGAGTGACCCTAAATCTCCTTTTCAATGTCAGTTATAGTTATTGCACCTAGATCTTTCAATTTCAGTTTGAGTCAACCTTTCTAGCTTAAGTCTTCTTGTAGGACGGATCAAATTTGTTAAGCATTACGCATACAGCCACACATTCTTACAGATTTCTTAGTCTAGACTTGAATAGTCTTTGCAAATTGGTACAACGAATGTCGCCGGCCAGTATGAGTACGTTATAGTGACATATATTATTACTTAATCTACTGCTATAACAAACAAATTATTAAATGGGGAAACGGAATGAACAACTGGTGATCAGCATCGAATATCAAATGGCTCAATAACACTGGACTAGAGGAGACAGAAAGGAAGAAAGATGTGGAGAAAGAACTGACATTAGAAAATGATTGCTTAAATGAACTATTTAAGTAGAAAACTAACAATGACTGTACTTAAGCACAACAGTGATGTGTGAATGTTTTGTCAAGAAATTTCTAACGTTATGCCCCACTTGTTGCTTCCTATATTGTATTGAGCAAGGACACTTTTGCCTAGGAATGCTGTTGGAATTTGAATTTATTGTATGGAATGAGGCATTAATAAATGAATTAATTGAATTGTCTTTGGGTTTATTGTCTTTGGGTTTATGCAAGTTGTAACCATATGAAAAGTACCTATATTTGTATTTTGAAGCATTAGTGCTATGCACATGTTCCCTACTGTATTAAAAGATTTAAGTCTTAATGAAATGAATCATTCACAATAAAGTAGTTTTTATGAATTTCTTAATCCTAACTTGAGTAGTCTTTTCAAATTTAGTCTTGAACCATTGTTACTGTGTTTAAAATATCTATTGGTATTAAATAAGCAATTCTTATGGATTTCCTTATCTTGACTTGGGTATAGGTTTTGCAAATTTTTTCAGCTATTGTAGCCGGGTTGAATGCGTTGGAGTGACCAGTCTCCTTTCAATGCCAATTAGACTTATTGCTTTTATCTTTCAAGTCATGTCAACCTTTTTAGCATAAGTCATTTATGGGATAATATTTTATTAAGCATTATGCATACACCTAGACTTGGCAATTTTTTACCTAACCCATTAACCCGTCCATTACCCATCCGTTTAAAATAGGTTAGGGTCATATATTTATGACTCGTGACCCGTTAATGACCCATTAAGAGAACCCAACGGGTCACGGGTTGACCCATCGGGTTAACGGGGTTGACCCGTTTACCGTTTAAAAATATAAAATTTTTTAATTTATTGTTTATTTATTTTGTTTTCTAATTCCCAATCCTACCTAAACCTCTAATAATTGACTAATATTCCCTAATTAACTAATTGATTCTCTTGACTCATCATCTTCTAGAAGTAAAAATAATCCCACTCCACTCATAACTCACCTCCCGACTTTTCCTATTCTTACTTGCCCTAATACCCTCGAAAACTCTAACTCTTTAAACTTCAAACTCTTCTCATATTCTTCAACCTCCATAGTTCATGCAGCTTTTGACTTTCAAGCTTCGACTCCACTTTTTTTCTTTAGTCTTTAACATTATTTCAAACTTAGATCTTAGTCTTATCGAGTCACCGTTGCGTCCACTCAGCCTTTTCTTTTTTTCTTCTATGAGTCCGGCAAGTGCTCTTTTTGTCACCAACTTTTTTCTCTAAATATTTCAAGGTAAGTTGTTTATTTATTTATGCTTTTTAGTTTTCTTTCCATTCCAAGTAAAAATTTTACTTGATTTTCTCTTTTACTTACTTAGATGCATTCAATTGATTATTCTTTGAAAGCAATGACCAAAACAAATATGTTCCAATGGGATTTGTATTTTTTGGTTGTCATGCTAGTATTGCTTTTTTTTCTTCTTTTTTTTTTTCGCTATTGAGATTTATAAGTGTTGTGTTCTTGAATTTGATTAGCGTTATTCTTTGAAGGGAAATAAAGAAGGTGATTACGAGGAACTATAAATATATATATTAAATTAATAAAAAAATTTATTTTTATAAGATTTTGAATTTCTTTTTTAAATCTTTTGAATAATTTTATTTGAATAATAATAGGTACAAATTATAGAGAAAAAAAAAGAAAAAAAATTTAATTGGGTCAACCCCGTGATGGGCGGGTTAGGGTCTATTTTCATTAACCCGTGACCCGTTTTAACTCAACCCGTTTTGACCCGTTACCCGTTTTGATCCGATCCTAACCCGATCCAACCCGTTTTGATCCGATCCTAACCCGATCCAACCCGCTCGTTTGCTAGGTCTACATCACCGCACATTGACTTGAATAGTCTTTGCAAATGTGGTCTTGAGCCATTGTTACTGTGCTTAGAATATCTATTGGTTTTAAATAAACAATTCTTATAGATTTCTTTATCATTTATCCTAACTTGAGTATAGTTTTTGCAAATTTATTTAGTCATTATAACCGGGTTGAGTGCGTTGGAGTGACCAATCTCCTTTCAATGCCAATTAGACTTATTGCTTTTATCTTTCAAGTCACGGCCACCCCTCTAGCTTAGTCATTTGTGGGACAAAACATTTTATTAAGCATTATGCATTCACCACACATTGACTTGAATAGTCTTTGTAAATGTGGTCTTGAGCCATTGTTACCGTGTTTAGAATATGTACTGGTTTTAAATAAACAATTCTTATGGATTTCTTTCTCATGACTTGGGAATAGCCTTTGTAAATTTATTCATCCTTTGTAAATTTATTCAACCATTGTAATTAGATTGAGTGCGTTAGGGTAACCAGTCCTCTTTCAATGTCAATTAAACTTATTGCTTCGATCTTTCAAGTCACATCAACCTTCCTAGTTTTTGCAAATTGGTACAACTACTGTCGCCAGTATGAGTACATTATAATGACATTATTACTTAATCTTCTGCTGTACTCTCCTATCATAAAATAATAGACTTTTTATGAGTTTATCTTCATATTAAGGATTTGTCATGTTGCTAAGTGTTTTTTAGCCATTATTGTCAAGTTTAGAATATCGATTATAGGATTTAAATTTGAATCAAATCAGAGGTTTTAAAGAAGTAATTAATTCTTACAAATTTCTTTATCAATGTCAATTATAGTTATTGGCGTATTGCTTAGATCTCCCAATTATACTTACAGATTTTTTTGTCAGTTATTCTCATGTCTACCTTTCTAGCTAATGTTTTCTCTTAGAGTAGTTTTAAAGGGTTTTATCATGGTACTACTCTAATTATAATATCACTTCAGATTATATAAACTTATAATTTTATAGTGCATTAAATGAAATATAATGTGATGTAAAATAAATAAATACATATAATATTATAGATAGATTATTAATTAAAAAAATTAATTAAAAAATAATATATTATATTATAAATTTATAATATTATGTGACAATAATTATACCATTCTCGGTTTTATTAAAGATTAAGCATTAAGCATCCAGCCACTAATCCTTACAGATTTCTTAATCTTAACTTGTATAGACTTTGCTAATTGGACCACAATCCCACAAACGGTACGCCGTGGCTTTATTATACTCTCTCCATTTTAATTTACATGTTTTACTCTTGCTAGATAATATTATAGATAAAATTATTCTTTTTAATATGATTTAATTGTCTTATTTTGTATTTTAATAAAACATTAAAAGAATTTTTAACCTATTAATGATGTATTTATTGTACTTTTTTACTATTAATTTATATTAAAAAAATAAAATTGACTTTAATTATACCAACCATCTAATTCAATTGTTTCATATGATATTAGTGTTAAAAATAAATTTTAATTTTTTATACAAATTAATGATAAAAAGATATAATAAATGCATTATAAGGGCACAAATTAAAAAAATTTAACATTGAATGCTAATATTTAAATTTTATAATTATTTTGGAAGAGACAAAATTCTTATGTATTAAGTGAGTATGAAAATAAAAAGATAGGTCATAATTATTATAATAAATAAATTTATTAGTAATTATAAAGGGATGAAATGGAGCAATTAAATCAAGAGCAGTGCTAGGGGCACTCGCTTTTTGCACTCTCCGGCCAATACTTCCCCTTTCATTGGGCCACGTAAGCTTCTTTAAAAGCTTTCAGCGCAACCTCTCGAAACAAAATAACATGGCCCAATAAAAGAGGAAGTGTCGCCGGAGAGTGCAGGAGGCGAGTGCCCCTAGCATTGCTCTTAAATCAAATAAGAGGGGTACTAAAATTCATAAAAAATAATTATTACTGGGAGCTTCTTTGATTTAAATGAAGAATTCAATTAATAAAGGAGGTTTGGAAGTGTGAAATCTTAACAGAGTGAAATTTTTTAAAAAAAATAGAAAGGAATATAATATTTTATTTTAAAAATCTAATTAGTAAATTGAAACAATTTTTTTAAAAAGTGCGAGTATGACAAATAAATTACAAGAAGCCAAGTAATAATTTAATTCACTTCCTGCTACCTTCCTACTGGAAAAAGGTACCTCTTCACCCTTCAACTTTTCGAATTTGAGGTATTTTACCCCTCATATTATAATATATGAGTTTTTACCTTTCATAGTTTCTAGTTTAAGGAAATAAGATAAAATTTAACGTTGGAAAATCACGTGCTGTACGTGCATCGTTACTTTTGTTATAGATTTACATGTCAACGCCAACTTAAACATTTTTAACATGTTAGCAATTCCAACTTGG